GTGCAGCCTATTTCAGAATGTTTACTCTACTTTAAAAAATAAAATAAAAAAACGTTCAGGAGGACCGATTCGTTTAAAGACAAAAATTGGTAGTCCTTCTGGAAGATATGCTCATATCGAATATTAGTTACATAGGACTGTCGGGGATGTAGCTGAAAGTTAGGAACACTGAAGAGCCAATAATCGTGACAGAGATCTCAACTCTCAAAAAGCACAACTGTTAAAGCCCATCAGTCCCTGACACACTCTCAGAAAACCGGAAAAGAACGTGGGTGTAGTCAGAAGACGTTAGTTAGGTCAACATGAACTAACCTCACGTTCTCAAGAGTTCAAAGATCAAACATGAAAGGAAAGAAAATAGCGATTTGGCTCGTGGTTGGATGAAATTATATTTTCCATACTTACTATTCAAGTCCTGGATGAATCTTGTTGTGTGGAATTCTATACTAACTTTTCAACAGAGAGGGAAAAAATAACTTTTATCTTTACCTCAAATGTGAAGTTTACACCAATGCACTATACTAGTAATTATGAAATTAAAAATATATAAATATATTTAGCATTTAGTTGAAGAATAGTCAATCAACTCATAAGATTAAGGAAAGAACATTAGATAAAAAGAGAATCATTAAAGTTAAGTAACAGATGTCGGATTGCTTGTGTGTTGAATTTCGCGGAAAGCTACTCGAGGACTATATGCGTGGCCGTCCTTAATTTTGAAGTGCTAAACTAGAGTGAAGGCAGCTACTCAACACCATCCACCGCCATCTCGCGGGCTACTCTTTTATTAACGATTAGTGGGATTAATCGCCACATAATAAGGTACCCACAGGAGAAAGCTCGAGCATATTCAGAGACGGGCTTCGATCCCGCGGCCCACAGATTGCGAGTCGAGTGCTCTAACTACCAGGCTATGCCAGACGACAGATGTAGGACGAAGTTTCAATACAGCACGGAAGGAAATAGGATAAACTGTGTCCTTTTATTACGTCAATAGAAGCAACATGAGTACCCATAGAATCTGCTTGAGAGTTTTGAGTATACACCTTGACGTAAGTGATGGCGCTCGTGAGCGCTGAGTACATAAAATGTTTCTTGTGAGAACTCAAAGATCATAGGGTAGTCGTGGGTCCTGAGGACATGAGATAGTACTAACGAGTACCAAAAACAAAGAAGATACTCATTAACTCTGAGTGCGTTAGGCCCGGCATGGCCAGGAGGTTAGGGCGCTTGAATCGCAATCTGAGAGTCGCGGGTTCAAATCCCTGTCCCGCCAAACATACTCGCCCTTTCAGCCGTGGGGGCGTTATAATGTGACGATCAATCCCACTATTCGTTGATAAAGAGTATATCAAGGGTTGGCGGTGGGTGGTGATGACTAGCTATCTTCCCTCTAGTCTTTCACTGCTAAATTAGGGCCGGCTAGCGCAGATAGCCCTCGTGTAACTTTGCGCGAAATTTAAAACAAACCAAACTGAGCGCGTTAGGTGCTACTTTTGAACAATGAGAACGTAAGATAGCACTTGAGAAGTAGAAAATATTACATAATGGTTTGAACAATTAAAAATAGTGGTATCACGACCATTATTATTATTATTCAAACCAAACCTAGCCCACCGAGTAACTCGTGTTCTGATTTTATACATTTTTCCCAAGTGAGTAACACCTTATTTTAAACTTACACACACACACACACACACACACATATATATATATACACACATAGATACATACATATGTACACACACACACACACACACAGAGACATATATATATATATATATGCACACATAGAGAAAGTGTTTAAAATGCAAAGAAACTGATTTTCATCTGTTATTAATACTTCTAACTATATATATTTCTATTATTTATTTGTTGACACGTTCTTTCCATGAACTGGAGTAGGATGTTTGGAGACGACACTATGTAGGTTTTATTATTTGCCGAAAAGATGCTAATGAAAGAAAACACTTTGCATAAAATATTTACTGTAACAGTATAGACAAGGGATTTCCAGGTATCTCTGATGTTAGGAAAATAATCAAATTACGTACTTATGCGAATTTTTGCATCCACTTGAATCACACTACCTTCAAACAAGACCAACGTTCAAGTGGACCAGAATCATCCAAAAACAACAACTGGTAGGCCAATGGTCCACTAAAAATAGGAGTAATTCATATATATTGAAAGGATTTTTATTCTTATGCGTAGGTATTAACCATAAATTAATTTCGTCTACCGGAAACAAGGGTGTAACCAGCAATGCAAGTTGTGGACCATTTTCCTGAAGTCTACAAACACGAGGCAGGATCCATTACTCCATCTTGTAACCATAGTAACACTGTTTATCAGGAAGAAACTAGATATCTTGTAACCACAGTAACACTGTTTAGCAGGACGTTGTCCAATTAGAAAGCCCAGTTATTTGAAACTAAACGTTAATTTAATATAAATCAAAATTCAATATAATATTATATATTTATTAATAATGTCTTAGCAGCAGACTAAGCTTAAAAAATGTGAATCTTCTAAAGTGTTAAATTATTCTTTTTTAAGAGAGAGAGAAAAAAAAAGAACAACAACCTAAGTTGTGTGATTATCATGGCGCCAAGGTGGCGAACCCTTAAAATCAAATCGACCAAGTAGATCTGTATTTCGTTCAAAGGCGTTTTATAGAGTACAGAGTCCACTTTCGAAAGAGCCGGTTTCGCCCTTTAGTAAAAAAAACTATTTTAAATACTCGTAATTTTATTATAGCGTGCACGAAAGAATAGATGCTAGGATTATACGTACTTGATATATATATATCACACATATGAATGTATAATAAAATTGAATACAATAAACGGATAAACTATTTTAACTCCAGACTTTTTTTTTTCAAGAGTGGGAAATTAAAATTTAAATGTCACTTCAACTCGTTTTTTGTAATCAGATCAAAGTTATACTTCATCATAAGTTTAACAAATAATATAAATACTTAGATAAATAAAAGTATTTCTTGTTTTTTCTTTCAATCATTCTAGAAGTTTACCGAAATTTGCTTGAATATAAAAGCCGCGTATCTCTTATTCTGAATAATGTTAAATAATGTATCGAATGCTATGGAATATGTATCGGTATTGACCACAAGCGATTATCTTTTACTGTATCCTACTTTTTAGATTTCAGCTATTCAGTTCAATTTTATTCACGTACTAGATAATACAATATGTTATAAAAAAGTAATAAATTTCAACTACAATCAATCTGGTATATGAAAAGGAGACAACAAAAAAAGCAAAACAGAGAATGCTTATACAAAACGTATCCCCTCTAGCAGAAAATAAGTATTAGCAATTAAAAAGAAATAAACATATATACAAAAAAGTTACAGCATGTAATACATTTGATAACACTGACAGTAGTATCGTAATACTTGTATTTTTAGTTAACTATAAAAATAACTAAGTAAATCATACATTTAACAGATAGATTTTAAAATAAACCTTAAACGTTATCAAAGAGTTCATTGCTCCTATAATATCGTATATTGCATTCCAAATATATATCCCTTCATAAGTTATCGAACGCCGATTTTTTAAAAAGTTTTATGTGTGTACCTACATTAAGTCTTGTAACATGACAATGGATGTTTGTTATTTTTAAAAGAGGTTTGAAAACTGGGTATGTTAATCAAATTATTTGTTATCATAAACATAAAATTACCTAATAAATCTATTATAATAATTATCAGGTTTTGTCTGTCCCGAAAATGCGCGTGCACTTCATTTCAACAGATGTAAACAAAAGGCGGATGTAAGTACAATGTATACTTAAGTAGATATTTTGTAAAACAACGTATTAATAATTTATCAAAGTTTTTGAAAAGGTCTAACGTTAGCTCGTAGAATAACATTATAAGTTTATTTACTGCTAGTAATAAGTACGGTAAAGTTTAGTCCTAACTAAACTAAAGAAAAACATACACAAGTTACAGTGCTAATTTATCAAATAAAGGCTTAACTAATGTTAAGCCTAAGACAAGTGGACTTAAAGATTTCGGTGTCTGCGATTAGAATTATTTTGTGTTATTTTAGAAATCCTGTATTTAAAGAAGAACTGTTACAATAAAGGTATGAATTTGACAGCAAATATTTTAAGAGTCACTGCTAGTAATTATTTATTTCATAAATATTTAATATTGAGTATTTATGAAATAACTGATACACAGAATCCCGATAGTTTAAACCCAAAATTACTATTATAAATTTTATTTGAAGAAGTAAAAAATGATTTATATTGTATTTTGATGAACCTCCCCAACAAGTATTTGAATATATTAAATGTGAATATATAAAACTGTTAACTAATCTTTTTATTTTGTTTATAATACCTATACATATCTATATGTTGCAGCTATTTTCCTAATTCTTCTTATGTGCTCAAACCAATTTCATTGATTAACAATTATGATATCGAAAAACTTTATTGATGAACATCTTTCAAACAATACTCTTTCAAGCAAAGGCAACGATTGGATTAAAACTTACGCATGTTGAATACGTTATATTAAAACGATTTTGGAGTCTTGCCACGTCGTTACAGTCCATGTTGCCACGTCCAGTCATGCTCTATCTAATGGCCATGCATCTTGACAATAGCTCTTTGGCGTAGTTTCCAGGGTCACACTGTCATGTCCAAATTACACCATTTCTCCTTGCAAATCTTTTATAAGCCGTTTAGTGTAGGAATGATGGTTTGTTTATTTGTTATGAATTTCGCGCAAAGCTACACGAGGGCTATCTGCGCTAGCCATCCCTAATTGAGCAGTGTAAGACTAGAGGGAAGGCAGCTAGTCATCAATACCCACCGCCAACTCTTGGTCTACTCTTTTACCAACGAATAGTGGGATTGACCGTCACATTATAATGCCCCCACGGCTGAAAGGGTGAGCACGTTTGGTATGACGGGTATTCGAACCCGCGACCCGCAGATTGCGAATCGAGCGCCCTAACCACTTGGCCATGCCGGGCCAGGAATGATAGTTTCCCAGTGCCCATTTCCAGTCCTATCGTACAGAAGTGTACAGGCGTTGTGTCCTGCGACTTGACCACTAGGTCTTTGAATGGAATAGCTTGAATACCCATTGGATTCCTCAGCTGTTTGAAGTACGTGATGGTTAAACAAGTATGTTTTGGAAGAAACTTGTGTATACGTGAATTTTGTCGCTTTTCCAGACGAAGATCCTTCTTGGGTAGGTCGTGCAATGTTGCCTGGGGCATGTCGACGGCCACTATTTGTGAATTCCCAACTGTTACAAGACGCCGCAAAGTTGGGGTACACTTGTTACTGGTCTCTTTCTGGATTGTGCTGCTTCCCCAACATAAACCAAATTTCTTTGTTTTCTAATAACATTTGAATACAAGGGACATATATCCCTAAGTTGGAAATGCTAAATCCCCGGTCTGAACACACTATTATGATCTGAATACTCTGCGCCAGAAATAGTTTGTTACCTACCCTTCCTAAAAGCGATCAATTTTTAGTGTCTTCAAATTATCTACAAACGCTAAAAATGTCAAATTGTATTTCTGATAGATTCCATTCTACCTCGACTTTATATCGACTGTGGCTGTCAGATGACTTGCTGATTTGTTTATTTAAAATCGTTTTAATATAATGTAGCATCAGGCCTATGTTATAAAGTATCAAAAAGCTCATACTATTGCAAATTCTTAATTTCAAAAGAAACTAAATTTGCAATTGTAGGTCCGTATTTTTCTCTGAACTCTCTGAATTTGTCAACAAGGTTTGTTTGTTTGTAGTTAAGCACAAAGCTACACCAAGAGCTATCTGTGCTCTGCCCACCACGGGTATCGAAACCAGGCTTCTAGCGTTGTAAGTCCGCTGTGACACGGGGGGGGGGCGGTCAACAAGTAAAGTAACAATACACAAAATTGTAAACCGACAATATTAATTCACAAACAACAATGGAAGGTACAAGTAGAAGATAAAACAAGGACAAGTGCTCATTGTTGAACAAGTGAGAGACGGGTGAAGGAGCGTTTAACGTATCTTTCACAACTCCAGAAAACACTAGAAAATAAAGTTAAATTATAAGCTATGAAAATACCCACAGCTAAAACAAATTAACCCTTTAGAAAAACAAAACGAGCAAAATGAACGCTTCACAAAGTCTGTGAAAACTCTGAGTCCAAATTGAACTGAAAAAGAAAATTCAGAAAATTTTACACATGGTACAATCCTGTACCACACTTGAAACATTCATATTGTTACCACAGCGGGTGTCACGTGACGCTAGTAACACGTCATATTCCGGAAGGTTCGTGAATCCTCGAGTGTTTACTAGATTTGCGGCATTCTAGTATATATAAGACCGTCAAGAAGTGACGGCAACAAGGTAATTGAATTGCAGAGAGTGATACAGACGACAATTGAGCCAAGCGCGTGAATCGTTCGTTCGTTGTGAAATACAGCGTTTGTTTAAGTTATAACGTGACTGTGGAAATTAAGTGTATTGCAAAGTTGTATTGAGAAAGAATAAACTAGTTTTATTTAAGAAAGGACTTGTATCGCTAAAGTTTCTTCAGAAAGAATTTTTACGGAAAATTAACTAACGACCAGAGACGTAACAATATGTTACGAATGCTGTAAACAAGCGCTGACTAGTTGTTTATTAAGGTTTTGTGCTTCCTCGTAGCTTCATTAGCAATTTTGATGCAATATAAAAAGTGTTAAAATATTCTTTACTTTATTCTAAGCTGAGTTAGCTAATTGATACTTTAAAACCTGTTCAATGTTTTTAAGTACTCGAAACTTGTACGTGAAAATAGAGTATATGTGTGTATACACATACACACACACACGCACAGATATATATATATGTGAACATTAATGATAGTTCAAAACACGTTGTTTGATTTTACGTAGTTATCAATATGTCATGTGATTTAGCGTTTGCTGCACGAAATCTTTGATTTCACATAGGCAAAAACAATCAGTGCATTGAAACGTTCAATCCAACAACAACGACCTTAAACTTCATAATGAATATTCGAGCAATAGAGTAAAGGATTTTCCGAGATATTAAAGAAAGTTATTTAAATATGGAAGTGTGCAAGTAAACACAATACTTCTCGTATAATTCGGGTAAGGGAGAGTAGACATTATGTAAAGAGTTTTAGAATAAATAAATACAGAATGTTCACGATATGTTCAACCACGACTGCCTAACTTTGATGGAAAGTGGGGGGGGGGGGTGATAAAAAAAAAGCTAAATCAGTCTAACATAGCTGTTAATAATAATCGTGTCTGTACAATAACTGGAAAATTGGAGAGACGTGTGCCCCTTCTACCCTGTGTTAGGCGCCTATATATTCAACTGGATTTAAGTTTTCTCACGGACCAATGATTCAGGTAATCCAAAAAAAAATACGACCAAGACTTGGCATGAAAACAAACGCAGCTAGTTGTTCAAAAATATGCAGAAAAACTAAAATGAATTGAATCTACGGCTGTTGAACTGAGAAAATAGAAATTAAATTCTATTAAAATCGATATCATGCAGTTAATGAACGTTAACCCAATTTCAAAATGATACTTACTCAATTCACTGTTTTCTTGCAGTTTAAAGGCGTGCGGGATTGTGAATCCGACAGCTGGAAAAACACCTTCATCACGTTGGGTCCGTAGGTACACTGTAAGAGTGAATATTAGATTCCACTATTCGTTAGGCAAGAGAAGCCCAGGAACTGGCGGTGGGTGCTATTTGATGGGCTTTCTTTTCTCTATTCAGTTAGTTCAAAATTAGGACTATTAGCGCACAGATAGCCTTTGTATGATTTTACGTGAAGATCCAAAACAAACAAAAAGCTAGAAAGAAGACAAGAGAACGCGAACCACGAATCCTCGGATTCAAAGACCGGCACGCTATCCATTTGTCCACATCCCGTCCAGGTAACTGAAAATATAAACCAAATCACCTTCACCGCGTAAGTTAGATTGATTGTATCTCAAGTTACTGGTCTATAACTAAGCCGGTGAGATACATCAACAATTGAAATTATAGTCTTAAACAAAGCTTTGCTACTTGATTTCAACTGACGGGTTTTATATTTTGGTGAGCTCTTTTAAGAGGAACATTCTGTTCAAATTTTATTGAAAACTGGACAATTTCAAACTCCCAAAAGGCAAACGAAACCTGATTTTATGAGTTTTATATTCTGTGATGCTGTACTCAACCCTCGTTGATATTGAACGTTCCTGTAACTGGATTTGTTGTTCTAGAAGGAAATATCGACAACCACTCCAGACGATATTTTAACTACAAGCAACTCATGTGAAATTATCGTTTCTGAACGGCACCAGACATTAGGGTTGTCCTATATTAATGTATTTATTGGTGGCACCAGACTTTAGGGTTATCCTATATACATGTATTTATTGGTGGCACTAGACATTAGGGCTATCCTATATACATGTATATATTGATTGCACTAGACATTAGGGCTATCCTATATACATGTATGTACTGGTGGCACCAGATATTAGGGCTATACCATATACATGTATCAATTGATGACACCAGACATTAGGGCTACCCTATATACATGTATATATTGATAACACCAGACGTTAGGGCTATCCTATATACATGTATATATTGATAACACCAGACGTTATTGCTATCCCATATTCATGTATATATATTGATAACACCAGACGTTAGGGCTATCCCATATTCATGTATATATATTGATTGCTCCAGACGTTAGGGCTACCCTATATACGTGTATATATTGATAGCACTAGACATTAGGGCGGCAACATATACATGTATGTATTGATGACACAATACATTAGGGCTATCCTATATACATGTATGTATTGATTGCACCAGATATTAGGGCTATCCTATATACATGTATGTATTGATTGCGCCAGACATTAGGGCTACCCTATATACATGTATATACTGATGACACAATACGTTGCTAGGTGATGAATATGTTGCAAACACTCCGTTAATCGCTTAATATGTGGCTCATGTTTTTTTTTAGCTGAGCTAGATATAGATATTGATAACAATAGACCTTTTATCATCACACGGATAAGTTGCAAAATTATAAAAAGAAATATATATATATATATATTATTCCGACATTTTTCTTTTTTTAAGAGTGATGTACAGCTGTCATCCGTAGCATGAATGTTAACTGTTTGTACGAAAACGACGAGAGAGAGCTGCGTGTTATTACTTAAGATATAACGCAAGCTTATAATTAAATATGTTGCGTTTAAACGTAGTTTTTAAAAAGTTTAAAATATTTTGATAACTTTCTTTTATATGCAAGTCAGATTATAAACACATAAATGTACTTTGGAAACGAAAGAGAACACGTGCTCGTATAAAACACGTAATTATAGGTTCAATTTAAAAGCGTTTTTTTTTCTTTTTGTATGTGTGTGTGTGAGTTTTACAAAAAATTCCTGCCCCCCCAGTGGCACAGCGGTATGTCTGCGGACCTACAACGCTAGAAACCGGGTTTCGATACCCGTGGTGGCCAGAGCACAGATAGCCCTTGTGTAGCTTTGTGCGTAATTAAAAAAAAACAAGCAAAAAATTCCTACAAATTTCTCCAGTGGGTAAGCATTAAGTTCACGGACTTACAAAGCTAAAATTCAGTGTTCGAATCCCTGCGGTGGATAGAGCGCATATAGCTGATTGAGTAGCTTTGCGCTAAAACAATAACATTTCTAAAAAATATGTTAAATCAATGTTCTCTATCGACAGATTGTATATTTAATTGACCAATATCTTGCCTTTCGACGTTTCATTTAGGACTTCTTCCAGAGGAATTGTAACTCGTGGTGCTGATTGGTCGCCAGTGATAATCAGGCATGTATAGACCAGAGGGTAAGAAACTAACATAGGTGTAAATAATTATGTAATATTCGTAAAGAGGTCATTAAATATTAAATGGGGTAATTAATAAAATATCAATATGGATTATTAATATGAATGCAGAGAGTAATTAATATTTAATAAAAAAGGCATGGAATATTGATAGCATCATCCAATATGGCTGCTTACACGGGAACGTCATCTTGGCAGGTGCGACGTCAAAGGGCAATCGGACGTGATCGGGGGCCAAAGGTCGAGTCAAAGGTAATATGAGCTTAGCATCCTGCCACACTACTGATGAGTTGAAATAATATAAAAGTACTTATTTAAGCTTGTGGTAAAATTTGTATGTATTCA